GTATACATTGAAAATTCTCAGCGGAAATATTTACACTACTCACTGCTCCTCCTCGGCCCAGCCTGGACCCACAACTCCAACAAGTAATCACCTTTACTAGTTTCATGAGTATCCTTCCAGCATTTCTATAATCACCAGAAAAATAAATAAATAACATTACCACATAACACTGTTCCCCACTTGCTTTTCCTGTTTAACACATCCCAGAGATCTTTTCCTATTAGTTCACAGAGAGAACTTCGTTTTTTTATATAGCTGCACAGTATGCTATTACTGCGTTTTAACATGCATTTCTCAAACTACTAATGAGACCGTGCATCCTTATCAAATGTTTGTTGGCCACTATGTTTCCTCTTCAGAAACTGCCTATTCATATTTTTTACCTATTTTATCGTTTCATTCTCTTTGTAGGAGTGCAATATGTATATTTCTGGTTTATTACATATGTTGCATACTCCTCTCAGTCTGTTTTAAATTTGTATATTCTTTTTTTCTTTAAAATTTGTATATTCTAAATGTTAATGTTGTCATAAAGTTTTAAATTGTGGTTTGGTCAAATGTATCAAAATACCTTTCCAAAATGAATGTAGATGTAATTATGCATTCCAATCACCCATAGAATACAGTGGCACTGAACTATATGTATATTTAACTTGAAAATGATTTAGGCCAGGTGTGGTGGCTCACGTCTGTAATCCCAGCACTTTGGGGGGCCAGGGCGGGCAGATCACCTGAGGTCGGGAGTTCGACACCAGCCTGACCAACATGGAGAAACCCCGTCTCTGCTAAAAGAACAAAATTAGCCGGGCATGGTGGCGCATGCCTGTAATCCCAGCTACCCCGGGAGGCTGAGGCAGAAGAATCACTTGAACCTGGGAGGTGGAGGTTGCAGTGAGCCGAGATCGCGCCACTGCACTCCAGCCTGGGCAACAAGAGCGAAATTCTGTCTCAAAAAAAAAAAAACAAAAAAGAAGATTTAAACATTTGGCTACTCACCATTCTATTTAATAAACATAAGTCCCAGCATGAGCCTGAAATATGAATCTATTTCCTCAGTAGGTCTCAGTTCTTCAAATGCATCTTATGGAATGAATAGATAAGTTAACGTTTCATACGATTTTATTTTGTACAACATAGCCCATAAATGTAAGCCATCTTCCTCTAGGGCACAATTGAGGAAACGGTGATATATTTCATCACTAGAGGAAAAACTGGCTGTTTGGGAATTATCGAGAGATGGTATCTTACTTCCCATATGGCAACTTCCTACAAGTTAATTCTGACTATACAGTATTTTCCCCTAATATGCATAATCAGTAAGTGGTAACTTCAAAGCATCTCAGACCTTCAAGGATATGACCTGTGCCTCACTGCAGCCTCTTCACTCAACATTTCCCCCTTGGATTTATATTTTAATATAGAGTTATCTACAATACCCTCATGTGCTATTCTCTCTCACGATTCTAATCCTTTATATGTTATCCTGCCTAAGAAGTCGTTCCCTCCCAAACTTACCTAAGTAGTTCTATTCTCCCTCCAAACCCAGTTCAGACATTACCTCGTCCAATAAGTTTCCCTTGACCTTCTCAGCAAAATGAATTAATCACTTCTTTATTCTCTCATTGTGGCCTTAACACACTTCCATTATTAAATAGATTCCATCACATTACAAATGATTTATTTACAAGCTTTCCTCTCTCATAAACCTTAGGAATTCAGATAGGGATTTATCTTTTTTTTTTTTTAACCCTTATAGGAGTAAAGGCTAATAGTTTATCTTATTCTTACGTGTATTTTAGTATCTAGCAGCTTCTAATACACCACTCAACAGATGTTTGCCAAATTAAACAAGTCCTTTCTATTCAGCATTATTATAAACACTGTAAGCCTACAAACACACAAATTGAAGGTAAGATCTTTAACCAAAAATATTTCACAAACTGAAAAAATGTGTGGATTATAACAAAAGTAGTTTGTAGTTCAGTGTTTTGTTTAAGCGGGTATAGATACCATAGATCAGTGCTCTTCAAACTGTTAGTCATGACCTATTAACAGACTGTGAAATCACTTTAGTGGGTTAAAGCCAATGTTTTTGAAAATATCAGCATATATCAAATGTAGTTATCTCACACACACACACACATGCACACAGTAACATAAATAGACAATTACCATATAAGATGTATTTTTTATTGGAAGTCAGAATAAACAATCATCTGAGAGCTACTTCCATAGTTGATAGGTTCCAAGGTTTATATTAACAAATTGTAGCAGTCAAGGAAGGCCTCTTCAATGAAGGACTTAACATCTGAAGCATAACCTGTCTCCCCACCATTTCTTCTCAGCTCCTCTCTCATTCTCCCCCTTAGTTACTGTGCTCTAGCCACAAAAGTCTTAACAATTCTTTGAACAAGGCAAATGTGTTCGCACTTTAGGGTCTAGCACATGTTGGTTCCGTTGCCTAGAAAACTCTTCACTTAGATTTAACCGCATGGCTTGCTCCTGCACTCCAGGATGCCCAGGGAGTAGCTTTCGCAGACCACCTAAGATAGCTACCACATCTCACCAATCTATCCCCTTACCTCCTTTTTTTTTTTTTTTTTTTTTTTTTTAAGATGGGAGTCTCACTCTGTCGCCAGGCTGGAGATGCAGTGGCGCCATCTCAGTTCACTGCAACCTCCGCCTCCCAGGTTCAAGCAATTCTCCCGCCTCAGCCTCCCGAGTGGCTGGGACTACAGGCACACACCACCACGCCCAGCTAGTTTTTGTATTTTTAGTAGAGATGGGGTTTCACCATGTTGGCCAGGATGGTCTTGATCTCCTGACCTTGTGATCTGCCCGCCTTGACCTCCCAAAATGCTGGGATTATAGGCATGAGCCACCGCACCTGGCCTCCCCTTACCTACTTTTATTCCTTTTCATTTTACTCATTACCACCTAATATCACATATTTATTTACTATGAGTCCCTCCCCACAAACGTCAGCTCCAAGAAAACAGGGACTTTGTCTTCGTTTTGTTCATTACTCTAACACCAGAGATTAGAACAGTGCCGGCCGCAGGGCAAACATCCCTGAGTAGGCTCTGACAGGCAAGGAAAAGGAAGAATGCACGGAGTTGTGCTTAAGCAAGGTATATTACAGAGGAAACCCCAGCTTAATAATGTTAAACAGTAAGGAATAAGGCTGAAAAAGAATATAAAAAGGTTGGAAAGTCAGAAGTAGAATTTGGACTTTATCTTGTAAACAACTGGGAGCCATTCAAATTTTTGAGCAAATGGTGACCCTTTCAAACATTTATTCAGCACAGGTTCAATTCACTTTGTTTGACAGAATAGACAGTGCAAAGGTCAACAGCACATGTTCTCCCCTTAGGCTTATATGTTTAGCAATGGGTTCAAAAATTTTTCAGGAAAATCATTCTGGCAGCCATATGCAAAACGGATTCAAGGAAGGAAAATCTAAAGTTTAAAGGAAGTAAATAATAGGCAAAAAGAAGAAAGCAAAAGTATGCATCGCAGACTACTTCAAGATTTAAGTATGACAAAATTAAGAGAAATGCTGAAAGCAGGTGGGAGGCTGAATAATAATAAATCTAAAAGTGATGGAAATTCCTTGAGTTTTCCAACAGAAATATCCAGTAAACTATTAGAGCAATAAACATGGATGGGACACACATTTGGGAGCCATCAGCATATAAAACATCTGAGAGGGGAATAGATAATCAAGTACTGATGAGACTAACAGTGCTAAGAGGCTCATGAAACAACAAAGAAAACAGAAAAGCAGTAGTCAGAAGGGAAAACCAGGATGGCAAATTTAACACAAAGGGCAAGGAAAGAACATTAAGAAGCCTCGGTGGAAATAGTAACACATATATACTAGCTGAAGAGAGTCAGGATGAAGCCGTTATTATTGACAAAAAAGATGTCCTCTGAAGCAACAATCTGAATTATGATATTCCAAAACTGCGTAATTTAGGAAAGAAACAGTAAAAGAACTCAGGAGTTGAATAGCCTGGACAACACAGTGAGACTTTGTCTCTACCAGAAAAATACAAAAATTAGCCAGGCATGGTGGTACATGCCTGCAGTCCCAGCTACTCAGGAAACTGAGGTAGGAGGATCACCTGAGCCGAGGGAGGTCAAGGCTGCAGTGAGCTGCAATTGTACTCCAGCCTGGGCAACACAGTGTGACCTTGTCTCAAAAAAAAAAGTAAGAACTCAGGGCAACAACGGTAAGTCAATTCTTAAAATTTTTGAAAATAAAGAAGAGAAACGCAGCAGATAGAACAGTAGCAACAGTTCATCAAAATTGATTCTTTTTCCTCCCAAAGTACAGAAGTCTGTACATATTTTAAGATAACAAAGAAAAAACATTGCAAATAACGATCAAGGCCAGGCGCAGTGGCTCACGCCTGTAATCCCAGCACTTTGGGAGGCCAAGGCAGGCAGATCACAAGGTCAGGAGATCGAGACCATCTGGCTAACACAGTGAAACCCCGTCTCTACTAAAAATAGAAAAAAACAGCCGGGTGTGGTGGCACGCGCCTGTAGTCCCAGCTACTCGGGAGCCTGAGGCAGGAGAATCGCTTGAATCCAGTAGGCAGAGGTTGCAGTGAGCCGAGATTGTGCCACTGCACTCCAGCCTGGGCAACAGAGTAAGACTCCGTCTCAAAAAAAAAAAAAAAAAAAATCAAAGTGACCAGAGAGGTAGTTAACTGTGGCAGCAGGATTCTTCTTCTATTCAATTTACAAAATAAGATGAAAGAACAGTGATTTGTCATGGTTACAATGAAAAAAAAATGTGCAAGCTTGTATCCTGTTTTCCTTTTTCACTTAAATAGAAGTAAATGGCATCTATTAAGAGTTAAAGAGGAAGAAGGAATATAAGACAACAGAAAAATGCAATTAATAAGATGATTGCCAAGAAGTAGGAAGGGCCTATTTGGAATTGTTCAGCATAAATTTATAGTGGCCAAGAAATCTTCATAATTACTCACCTTCCTCCACAAATATGCTGTGACCTGTGAGGGAAAACAGAAGAAATCGATGGTGGAAAAATCTGACAATATGCGTCCAGTAAAATATAAAATAAGTGACCGATGTCAAAGTGCAGACTGTATCTAGTGTGTACAGGAGTAAGTTAAATGTCTTAGACTGGGTTGCTGTAACAAAATACCATGAACTGGGTAGCTTACTAAACAACAGAAAATGATTTTCTTGTGTTTTTTTTTTTTTGTAGAGATGGGGTCTATGTTGCCGAGGCTGGTCTCAAGCAATCCTCCCACCTCAGCCTCCTAAAAGTGCCAGGATTACAGGTATGAACCACCACACCCAGCCCAGAAAACCATTTTTAATAGTTCTGGAGGCTGAGAAGTCCAAGATAAGGCACTGGCAGATTCAGTATCTGGTAAGGGCCAGCTTCTAGACAGCAGTCTTTTTGCTGTAACCTCATGTGGAAGAAAGAGCTAACAAGCTGTCTGGAGTCTCCTTTTTTTTTTTTTTTTTTTTTGAGACAGAGTCTCATTCTGTCACCCAGGCTGGAGAGCAGTGGCGCGATCTCTGCTCACCGCAACCTCCACTGCCCAGGTTCAAGCGATTCTCCTGCCTCAGCCTCCCGAGTAGCTGGGATTACAGGCGCCTACCACCGCGCCCAGCTAATTTTTGTATTTTTAGTAGAGATGGGGTTTCACCATCTTGGCCAGACTGGTCTTGTACTCCTGACCTCCTGATCTACCCACCTCAGCCTCCTAAAGTGCTGGGATTATAAGCATGAGCTACTGCATCCAGCCTGGAGTCTATTTTTTAAGAGCACTAATCCCACTTGTGAGGGCTCTACCCACCTGAGCTAATCACCTCCCAAAGGCCCCACCTCCTAATGCCATCATCTTGGAGGTTAAGATTTCAACATGAATTATGGGGAGACACAAGTATTTAGACCATAGCACTAAGGGAGAGAAACTGAGGGTCTCTATGAATGGAACAAGTAAAGGAACATAGGAAGAATAATCACATCGGCAAAGACACAGAGTTCACACAAGCCATTCAGGGCGTAAAGGAAATTTTTAGATCATTCACTTACCACACATATTTTTTTTATTTTTTATCATTAAAAAGAATAAACATGGAACACATCACAAATTTATGTGTCATCCTTGTGCAGGGACCATGCTAATCTTCTCTGCATCGTTCCAATTTTAGTATATTTGCTGCTGAAACAAGCACTAGACTACTAATTATTTTTTCCTCTGTTTGGATACATGGGAAGTGCTGTGGACATAAAGGATTCCAGGAGTCAGAAGGGGCTATACATCCAAAACCGTTATCATAATGAGAAGAATGGACCTAATTCCAAAGTTCAGTTCTGTCATTTTAAAACCACCTCAGTCTCTACATGCACAGAATGGGTGTGTTAAAGACAGGTATCATACTGGCATCTACCCACCTCCTTTAAAGAATCATTACTATAGGCTGGGCGCAGTGGCTTATGCCTGTAATCTCAGCACTTTGGGAGGCCAAGGCGGGCAGATCACTTGAGGTCAGAAGTTCGAGACCAGCCTAGCCAACATGGCTAAACCCCGTCTCTACTAAATATAAAAAAGTTAGCTAGGTGTGGTGGCAGGCACCTGTAACTGCAGCTATGTGGGAGAATCACTTGAACTCAGGAGGCAGAGGTTACAGTGAACCAAGATCACGCCACTGCACTCCAGCCTGGGTGACAGAGTGAAACTCCATCTCACAAAAAAAAAAAAAGAATCACTACTATAGTAAACCACCATAGTAAAAGTATCTTATCCCTCAAGTGTAATGAGACATAAACAAGCTAATTGGGTTATAGGAATGCTCAAGCCTCATTCAGAAAAAAAAGATTCTATATTATATAATATAATCACAGCATTAGTGGGTTTAAAATATTCTTAAAAATAGAATCACAGTCAGGACCAACAAGAGTAGTTTTTTAAAGTTTCAGTTTTGTTTTGTTTTTTCTCTTGAGACAGAATCTTGCTCTGTCACCCAGGCTGCAGTACAGTGGTGCAACCTCGGCTCACTACAACCTCCACCTCCCAGGCTAAAGGGTTGCTCCCGCCTCGGCCTCCCGAGTAGCTGTGACACAAGCGCACGCCACCATGTCTGGCTAATTTTTGTATTTTTAGTAGAGACGGCGTTTCACCATATTGGCCAGGCTGGTCTCGAACTCCTGACCTCAACTGATCCACCCGCCTCAGCCTCCCAAGGTGCGGGAATTACAGACATGAGACAATGCGCCCAGCCATTTTTTTTTTTATTTTAAACTGCGAAACTTTTAGGCTGGGCACAGTGGCTCACACCTGTAATCACTGCACTTTGGGAGGCCAAGGCAGGCAGATCACAAGGTCAAGAGATCAAGACCATCCCGGCCAACATGGTGAAACCACATTTCTACTAAAAATGCAAAAATTTGCTGGGCGTGGTGGCGCACGCCTGTAGTCCCAGCTACTCGGGAGGCTGAGGCAGGAGAATCACTTGAACCCAGGAGGTGGAGACTGCAGTGAGCTAAGATCGTGCCACTGCACTCCTGCCTGGTGACAGAGACTCCATCTCAAAAAAAAAAAAAATTAAAAAAAAAAATCATAGTATCAGTGTGCTCAGTATTTTTTTAATCAAAGGAGATGGAAGTGGACATTTTCCATTATTTCATTTTAATTGACTTTAATTTACCATGCACTATAAAACTATATAATGCCATGAAAAGATGTTTTAATATTATCAAAATTAGTATTTTATAGGTTCCTTATCTGCAATTCCAAAAATCCAAAAAACTTCTGAAACCCAAAATAACTCATCTTGTGGTAAACCTTACCCAAACTGATATGAAGCTATTTACAGTCTTTATCCTATTTAGTGAAAACATTGATACATTTTGCTGCAGAAACAGTAACATTTTTGAAGGGGGATACTGCACTGGACTCTATTGGAAGGCTATACATTACTACCTTGCCCTTATCAAAAAAAATTCCTAATTCCATAACCTATTAGACTCTAAGAGTTTGAATGGTGGACTGTGATCCTATAATTGCTAACATTTATTGAGCTATTAACTATGTGTCAGATACTGTTCACTTTATATGAAATAACTCATTTAATCTTTCCAATCATCATGAGCTAAGTATTATAATAATCCCCATTTTACAAAGAAGGAAACTGAGACATGGAGAGATTAAGTAAACTGCCTAAAATCACACAGCTAGAGTGTGACTAACTGGGATGACACTGGGATGAATATTTAAAACATTACACATAAGAGTAACAAAACACAAGAAAATGGGATAATTGATTATGCTAGGTGCTAGGAATCAGTGATATGTTTCTCTACTCAATTGATATTACTTCCAGAATAAGGAATCAAACAAAAAATTACAAAACACTACATGCATTTACAAATTCTCATTTATGTACAATTTCTACAAACTTGCTTAAAATGCAGAGTATAAAACCCAAATTTCTCAGCTTATGTAACATATTTTTTTTTATTGAAAAATAACATCTTAATATCTTAATTACAACACATGATAATTTATAGTCATTGTAGAAGTTAGAAAATTTGGATAAGCAAAAAAAAAAAATCACCTATAAAACTACACTCAGAAATAACCATTTAACAATCTGGCACATATCCTCCCAAACATCAATATATTTTGGGTTTTTTTACCAAATGGAATCATGTTTTTAAATCTTACTTTTTCTCACTTACATATACCAAGACATCCTTTCATGTATTTATATTATTCTATCATTATTTTCATGGCTGAGAAGGCAGTACCCCACTGTATGGATGGACCCTAACAATCACTGTGAAACATTTAGGTTTACAGTTTTACCATATAATGATCAATAGTACTGGTTCTAGAGTCACAGTGGTTGGATTCAAGCCCTGGCCCTAAAACTTAAGTAACTCAGGTATCTTGAGCAAGCAACCTCATTTCTCTATGCCTGTTTTCTCTTCTGAAAAACAGAAATAGTACTACCCACTCCATATGATTACCGTGGGGGTCAAAGGCATTAACACACAGCTTGTATAACCAACAACACTGCAATTGGTATGCTCACAGCTAAATATTCACACACACCTTTACTACACCAAAAAAAAATTCTTTAAAGGGAATTTCCATGTCAGAAAGTATGCCCATTTTTAAGGCTTCTGAATCTGCCAAATTACAGTGTGGTTTACAGTCCTTCATTAAATAGCCTTCTCACTTAATACTCATTTCTCTTTATCAAAAAAGGCAAAAACTATTATCCAGTTAAGTTAACCAGCTTGTTTCACTGAATTAGTTTTTTGTTCTTCCACCTATAAACCTTGGCATATTTAATAAAACCTCAAAGTTTATAGGTAACTTGAAGACACCTAGCCCAAATTCTCCTTCAGCACGATTCCTCTACTCTAGAATCCTCAATCTGTCAGTGAAAAGGAACAGCCTACCACCCAAAACAACTCATTCTATTTTCACAGTTTTGAGGAAATTCCTCTTGAAATAGAGCAGAAATCTGTTTCTTTTAAACTTCTACCCACTGACCCTAGTTCCTTCTGGTCAAATCTGATCCTTCTGTGTGACAGAACACCAAATCCTTAAAGGTGGCTGTTACTTCTTAAAAGAAGCTCCTCTTCTTTAGGTCAAATATCCAATTTTTTCAACTTTTTCTCATTTCCATTTCTCTCATGATCAAGGTCCTCGTTTATTCTCTACAGATAAGTGATTTTGACACTTTGATGTCTACCACCTTGGAAATGAGAAAAATAAAGGTCCGTTCCTACCCTATGTTAAGTTTGGGCCTCTGTGTGGTTTCTTATTAGCTCTCCAGATTATTCTGATAAAGTCTGAGAATGAATACAAGGTCTCACTTATGATAGTATGCTACCCAAAAAGCCAACTCAATACCCCACGTATAATATAACTAGTACAAAGTAAAGTGGGGCTAACACCTTGCTCTTTCAATACGCTGTTCTACCATCTTCAGAATTACTCTCCAACAGGTTTGGTGGCTGACGCCTGTAATCCCAACACGTGGGAGGCCAAGGTGGGAGGATCACTTGAGTCCAGAAGTTTGAGACCAGCTTGGGCAACATAGTGAGACCTCGTCTCTACAAAAAAATTTAAAAATTAGCCGGACACGTTGGGAGGTACCTGTAGTCCCAGCTACTCAGGAGGCTGAGGCAGAGGCAGCATCGCTTGAGCCTGAAAGGTGGAGCTTGCAGTGAAGTATAACTGCACCACTGCACTAAGCCTGGGTAACAGAGAAAGCAAGACCCTGTCAAAGAAAGAAAAGGTTCAGAGGGGAACACAGGGAGGGAAGAAGGGAGAGAAGGAGGGAAGGAAGGGAGGGAGGGAGGGAGGGAGGGAGGGAGGGAAGGAGGGAGACAGACAGACAGACAGAGAGACAGAGGAAGGTGCACTAGCCCACCAACAACCGAACTGACAGCTGATTGCACCAAAGCATCTTCTCTGTATAGAGCACTGTGATGTCAACACTGAGAAAAAACACAGGCCCTAATACTCATCTCATCTAGTGCTAGATTTACCTTCTAGAAAGCATGATGGAACAAACATCTTCAGAAAACTATAATACTAATTATAGCTATACCAAAGTAGGCACATCAGGCTATAGAAACATTGTGATTACTAGCTGGAAATCCTACTAGTTGTGGGGGAGGAGAGGGGAGGGGAAGGATGACACTAAGGAAACTAAGTTGCTCTGAACTTCGAGATTTTGTGTGGGTTTGTTTTTTAACGTTTGCAAAGTCAGAAGAGATGAAGGCCATCAGAGAGTTCATCTGAACTCAGGCTACCTGCAAACAGAGACTGGGTAACCACCTCAAGCACCCTCAAAAATAAATTCATGATGCAAAACTTCATGTAATTTCTGAATTCCTCATGACATGTGAACTTTACCCGTTACTATTTCTAACAAGGTAATGAAGGGCAAAGGAAAAACAAAACAAAACAAAACATCCATGGTACAGGAGATGTGGTCCATTATAATGACACAATGTTAGAGGAAAAAACAAACTAAAACCAAGCATACTTTTTTTTTTTTGAGACGGAGCAGAGTTTCGCTCTTGTTGCCCAAGCTGGATTGCAATGGCGCTATCTCGGCTCACTGCAACCTCCATCTCTCTGGCTCAAGCGATTCTCCTGCCTCAGCCTCCCAAGTAGCTAGGATTACAGGCGCACGCCACTGCACCCGGCTAATTTTTTGTACTTTTAGTAGAAATGGGGCTTCACCGTGTTAGCCAGGCTGGTCTCAAACTCTTGACCTCAGGTGATCGGCCCGCCTCCGCCTCCCCAAGTGCTGGGATTGCAGGCGTGAGACACTGTGCCTGGCCAAACCAAGTAAACTTAACCAAGATCCAATCTATTTTCATTTAAACAGCAAACATTAAAAATACACCTGGTATTTTCTAACAATTACACCAAGAATGACCAGATGCTTCCTGTTGATGGAACAGTAGAGAACTACAGACTGACAGATTCAGACTAGAGTTCACAGTAACAACTAGAAACAAACTTAGCTTCCTTTCAAAACCATTAAAGTATGGCCTTAAATTTTTACCCATTAATCAGTTAGGTATAATTGTCTCCCAACCTAGAAAACCCAGAATGATTCAAAGAGACAAAGAACTCTAAGGATACGTATCTGCGAACTATTCGTTTCACCAAAGGACTCACTGCAGAACTAGTTTTCCGTAGAATCTGCACCTCCTATAGTTTTCAGCATGTTTCATTTTTAAAATAACATTTACACACCAGTGTTAATAGCATATGTAATGTGGAATTCACGTGTTACTTGTGTAAATCATTGTACGTACTAGAATTAAATTTTTTAATCACTTAAGAATATTTTCAAATGTTCCTGAGTCTCCAAGATCATAGGAAGATTATGCAGTCATTATTTGTGATTTTGTTTAGGTACCTAAATTCCAACTTTTAAAAAAAGCTGGAGCCCAGTAAAAAAAAGTATGGGAATCAATCTTATTCGTCTTGTTAAAATGTGTCTTGCATAACATCCTGATTTGACTTGTATGGTGAAAGCACGGTAAGAATGACACATTTCTGTTTTTTGGTATTAAAAAAAAAAAAGTATGAGTGTACAGTGGAGTGTTCCAGAGGTTTACATGGTGTGCTAACCACAACAGTGACGTAGTTTTGAGAATCTTCTATTAAACCAGGCATTAAAAAGATTTGCAAAAATGCAAGATGTTACTCTTAACAAATCATCTATGTTAACATGTAATGGATGTATTTTTTGTTTTTGGGAAAAAAAACCCGGGAGAAAAAAAAAAGCCATCTTTAGTTTCCTCAAAGTCTGACCCTGAAAATGGAAGTATCAAAGCTGATGGTTTATACGTCAGTGAGAAAAAAATTTAAACCAAGCTGGGTGGGTCTTTACATGAGATAAACTATCTACAAGAATGTCTGACCACTAACTTCTGCATAATAAATGAGAGTCGATCTTTTCATTCTGGGATGGCAATGTACTTTACAAGGACCATTTACAGCCTACATCAAACCTTTTTCTAGATAAAAAACGTACTTCAGTAACTTGCCTGAATTGAAAGAGCAAAACAGTCCGGAGAGAAAACTTAAAATGTTTCCACATTATCAAGCCCCCTTCAGAAGTACTGTGGTCTCGGCCCCTCCTTTGAACAGATGTCCGCTCGCCACAGTCCAATCAGGTTTAAAGCAAGTGTATTTGTACTGAAAACAAGCTTCAAGTGGGAAGACACACACAAAGCAGGCCTGTATCATTCCTTTGGTTTCAGTTTTCACGATGCACCCTTGAGGCTAGGCACGCTGATTCAACACACTTGGAGAGCTTCACCGAAACACACTAAATACACACTGATGAACTGTGCCCTGGCAGAGATGACCTGGCAAAATTCTCAACTTTTTCCCTGAGGCCGTGCACCCGCGGGTCTCGGCGGCGAAGTCTTTCGGGCAGAAGTCCCAAGCCTTCAAAACGGCAGGCTTCTCCCCCTCAGGACTCCAGTCCCCGCGGCCAAGGCTGTAGCTGCGGGGGCCCCGCGCGGGACTGGCCAGGCTCTCCCGTTAACCCTGTCTGGGCCGGCCGATCCCGCCGCGGCCCGAGCGCCTCTCGGCCCCGCAGCACAGGGCGCCCAGGACCCGCCGCCCCCGCCGCCCGTTCCCCTCTCCGGAGAGTCCAGCGGGGCCGTCAAGCTGCCCAGACAAAGGGTACCGCGGCGCCAGAGGCCGGGCCCGGCCGCGCCTGCCTTCCTCCTCCCGCCCACTGCCAACCTCCAGTCGCCCGCAGAACCTCCGCTGCCTCGGCGCGACCCCATCGCCACCCCGGGGCTGCCGCTCGGGACCGGCCCGCCGGGCAGCCGCGAGGAGGCCGCCGCACGCCAGGGCCGAGGAGGGGGCGGCGGCCGCCACCATGTCTGCCCGCCCCTCCCAGAAGCGGGGTGCCCAGCGGACAAAGCGCAGCGGCGGCGCAGGCGGAGCGGGCGCCCAGGCCGACCCCGCCGACCCCCGCGGAATAAGCGGGGCCAGGAGCCCCGGAAACCCGGCGCCTTAATGCAATAAACAGGAAATCGCGGGGATGATCTGGGTTCCGGGGGAAGTGGAATTATTTTTTACCAGCGAAGAGATCAACTTCCACATCCGGTGGTAACAGGGCCCTACACAGACCCGCACTGACCTGGAAAAGCTTCGGGAGCGGCGACGGGAAGGCAGCAGGAGGTGGTGCGGGGACCCGAGGCGCCTCGTACCCGGCCGGGCTGACGCGGCCCCGCTACACACAAAGCGCTTCAGCAGCACAGGGCGCTATTTTCCGAAAATGCCGCGTCTGGTCGGCGCCCAAAATCCCCACCGAAAAGTCCCCCGTGCTGCGCGCGGAGGGACACATGGTGTGCGAGTGAGTCAAGCTCCCAGCATCCCTCCCGGACCCGGCCCTCGTCAGCTGCTCGCCCGAGGATTTTCCGCCTCTGCACTCATCGGCAGATCCCGCTCCTACCCACTCCCTGACTCTGTTCCCACGGGGAGAGAGGGGAAAGAGAGTCTGATTTTTTAACGAAAGGGATGAAAGTATGCCATTTCTAGCGCTTCAGCCACACAAAGAAAGCGGCGGAATGATCCGCTCTCGGCGACCGCAAGTCCCGGCCCACCCGGCGCCTGCGCGGCAGCGGGGGTGGGAGCTGCGGCCGGCCATGTGCGCGGCGGAGAGGCTGGGTGGCCGCGGAGCCTTCCCGCCTGTTTCTGCGGTGGGTAGTAGTTTGGGAACTAATGTTCTGTGCTAACCTTCGTGTCTCTGTGACATGACCGTTTAAAGACGGAGAGTGCGGAATCTTTGGACTTTAAGCTTGCCAACTGAGCGGCCTAGCAGAATCCTGGGAGACGGAAGGACAGGAGGCTAGGATTTACCTTTTAAGTGTCCCTAGATTCAACTAGTCAAACTGGGACGGGAGACGCTGTGAAGGTACCAGGGAAGGAACGAGTGAGGTTCCTTTTCCACTTTTGCATAAACTCAACGGTCAGATTCATGACGAAGATGTACATATTTCTGTAGATTTTTTTCCCGAGCATTCTAATGATGCCTCATATTTCGTAGATCCTAGTAACTGCTTGGATTACTGCCACCTCAGAGGTAGAGATCTGTTTTTCCGTGGCTGGAATGTCAAAACTTTTGTTGTATTTTATTAAGTAGCAAAAGTTTGGAGATTGCAAGGTTAAAAAAAAAAAAAAAAAAAGCTTTATGAACTTAATCTAGATGTGATTTGCTAAGGAACTTAACATATTGATATGTTTTTCGCAGGGGAGTCAGGGCATGGCTTTCCCAACCTAGTAACCGCAACTTATAGCATCCTACATCTAGGACTTGGGAGTATGTGAGACAGCGCCAAGAATTTAATCCAGGAGAACTGACAAGCTTAAATGAAATCCACATTGCCCACTGATTTTGTGCAGCCTCAGATAAGTAATCTTTCTCCACTTAGCCTTTGGTAACAATTGATGTAATAAAGGTTTGTAGTCTTTGCGTAATTTATTAAAGCATTGTGGCTAAAACAGAAAAAAAGCGTAGGAACCATAGTCTATGTTTTCTTTTGATTTAATATTTTCATTGCTTCAGTTAATAGAAATTTGTCAAAATGCTGATGTTTTTCTGTAGCATTATTTGAATGAGCATTGTTTGAGTGAACATTCAGCTAATTATTGTTAGAAAATCGTTGCCCCCAGAATGAGCATTGAGTGAACATTCAGCTAATTATTGTTAGAAAATCGTTTCTCTCATTAATCTTACGCTGTAGAATGTAGACAAGTAAGTAGGCATCATCAGTATGATGAGAGTGAAGCTACTTAATACCGTGGAATCAAATAAAGGAGGAACCCCTTACTAAACCAAGAGGGAGGAATAAAATGGAATGGGACTAGAGAAGCAATTGGCTTTAATAAGGGTATTGTGGAAGACCTAGATAAGAAGCAGTAAGTACCGATGTTTGGAGGCAAACACTGGAGAGATTTTTGGGTAAAGAAGACAGTGCTGGAGGTCTGCTTGTGAAGGCCTTGAATGCTATGTGCAGAAGTGAGCTTCTGAGAGCCAGGAGGAAGATATTGAAAGATTTTAAGTAGAAGAATCAGGATTGAATTCATTTTAGACAGATCACTGTTACACAAAAATTTGAGGCAAGGAAAAGAGTTTGGAGTAAACAGTAGACTGTGAGCCAACAATGACTTGGACTGAGTTGGTGGCAAGTAGTTGTGAAGAAGATGAAGTGGTTATTGGGAGATTTCGTTAACTGAAAATGACTGAGGAAAATAGATGTCAGAGGTGACTGCCAAATGAGTTGGAGCAGCTACGAGGACAGTAATATCTTCACTGAGATTAGAAACAAAATAAGAGAATATATGTTAGGGAAGAAAGAACTCTCTGTTTCGACCATGTAAAATTCGAAGTGCCTGTGAGCCAACCAGACAGATACGTGTAGCCAGCAATTAGATATTCATTCAACACTGTTGGAAGAAATAAAGCAGCTGAATAAATGAAATAAAGCAGCAGCAAAACAAACGGTTCCAACTCCTGTTTTTAGAGGGAAACAGCGTATAAACAAGTTTTTAAAATGAGAAAATATCCCATAAGTTTGTGAAGAAGGCCGGGTGCAGTGGCTCACGCCGGTAATCCCAGCACTTTGGGAGGCTGAGGTGGGTGGATCTCCTGAGCTCAGGAGTTAGAGAGCAGCCTGGCCGACCTGGCGAAACCCCATCACTACTAAAAATACAAAAATTAGCTGGGCACAATGGCACGCTCGTGTAATCCCAGGTACTCCGGAGGCTGAGGCAGGAGAATAGCTTGAACCCAGGACATGGAGGCTGCAGTGAGCCGCGATCTCGCCACTGCATTCCAGCCTGGGCGATGGAAGGAGACTTCGTCTCAAAAAGGAAAAAAAAAAAAGTTTGTGAAGAGAATTAAAGGCTGATTGGATGAAGTGTTAGTCTGGGGAAAAGAGAGCAGACTTTTGGTGGTTGGTTGATCAGAGATGGCCTCACTGAGAAGGTATTAGAAAGGACTTAAGAACAGAGTGTGAGACCAAAATAGCAGGGCAAAGGCCCTAAGGTGAGAAGTTTGTTGTGTTTAGGGAACAGCAAGGTCAGTGTAGCTGAAGTCTACTGACCAAAAGAAGGAATGATAGGAGGTGAAGTCTTCAGCCTCGATAAGGTGACATGCACTGGAAGCCATTGAAGGATTTACGAAACGGAGTATCATGGACTAGGATAGTAGCAGTAGAGATGAGGAAAGTGGATGGATCCAAAAAGCTGACCTATCTTGCTCACCAATTAAATGAGGAAAAGGAGGAATCAATAGTGATGCCTAGGTTTGGGGCATGTTGTCTAGGTGGAATTAATTTTAATTACACCTTTTATTTAACCCAGTATATCCAAATATTATTTCACATGTGATCAATATAAAAAATCACTAAACATTAAAAATATTTTACATTTTTCTCATAACTAAGCATTTGAAATCTGGTGTGTATTTTATACTTATAACATATCTCAGTACTTGATTTCGTAAAATTTCCAGCTGAAAAAATAGATTCACATATCCAAGTCGTTCCAAGCATACTTAAAAGTTGTACGGTAATCGAATCGTGTGTATTTTTAAATTTTATTTTAAATTAAAGTTAGGATTATGAATTCGGTTCCTAAATTAGCCTCATTTCACTTCCTGCATTTCAAGTGGGACAAGTTGTTACCATATTGGACAGTGCAGTCTAGTGAAATAGAGAATAGTGGAAAGTCAGACTTAAAAAGTTTAGAACCAGCTCTGGAAGGCCTTGGATGTCAGATTAAAGGACTGAGATTTTACCCTTGAGTCAGGCAGAACAATGGATGGTTTTTGAACTAAGGAGTGACACAACATTGTGCTTATGACTAGAAAGAGGCCACTAGGTGGCCAGCTGTGAGTCAGGACACCCTTCAGTTGCTTTGACTTCAGCCTTGTGGATTCAAAGTCTGATTTTTGTCAGCACTCTAGAGCAGTTCCACCAAGAGTGTGGTCCACAGGGCAGTGCCAGTCTGTAAGCCCTTTGTTACACATCCATGACAAGTCATTTACAGAAAGTAAATGTAGAAACTTATAGCAATTTAACAGACTAATTTTATTTCTGTGGGTCTAATAAAAATTTGAGGGACTGTACTTTGCATATATCTTTATTCCCTTTTTTTTGTTTGTTTTTTGTGTTTGAGATAAGTCTTGCTCTGTCGCCAGTCTGGAGTGCAGTGGTGCAATCTCGGCTCACTGCAACCTCCGCCTCCCAGGTTCAAGCAATTCTTCTGCCTCAGCCTCCTGAATAGCTGGGATTACAAGTATGCACCACCACACCCAGCTAATTTTTGTATTTTCAGTAGAGACGGGGTTTCACCATGTTGGCCAGGATGGTCTTGATCTCCTGACCTTGTGATCTGCCCGCCTCGGCCTCCCAAAGTGCTGGGATTACAGGCGTAAGCCACCGTTCCTGGCCTTTTTTTCCCTTTTTCTTTTCCTTTTTTTTTTTTTTTTGAGACAGAGTTTCGCTCTTACTGCCCAGGCTGGAGTGCGATGGTGCGATCCCGGCTCACAGCAACCTCCGCCCACCCCCCACCCCACCCCCCCTGAGTTGAATTGGTACTCCTACCTCACTCTCCCAAGTAGCTGGGATTACAAGCATGCGCCACCACACCCTGCTAATTTTGTATTTTTAGCAGAGACGAGGGTTTCTCCGTGTTGGTCAGACTGGTCTCCAACTCCCGACCTCAGGTGATCCACTTGCCTTGGCCTCCCAAAGTACTGGGATTACAGGTGTGAGCCACCGCACCTGGCCGTTTTTTTCCTTTTTCTAATAATTTTTATCATATTACATAAAAGTACCTATGGTCTCACAGATGAAGGGAGTCAGAAGAACCAAACTCCCAGAAGACTTACGTAAATCTAAATGCCTTTTTTACTTTGGAGTGAAAACTGTAATAGCTGAACTACAACGGACATTGCTCATTTTCTCCCTCCATGTAGACATGGAAAGCTATATGGAAATAACCGAGTTTATAGTAGCTACTATATATTAAACGTTTCCTGTATGCCAGCCACTGTGCAAAGCCTATTATATATATTGTCTCATTTAATCCTCACAACTCTGTAAAATAAGTATTGTTTGCCCCATTTTTCCAATCAAGAAACTGAGGCTAAAATAGGTTGAATAACTTACCTAAATTCACCAACCTCAAAGATGTTAAAGACGGTTCTAATACAGGTCTCTCATTTCCTTCTTGATTAGGAATACTACTTTGAGGCCGGGTGCGGTGGCTCAAGCCTGTAATCCCAGCACTTTGGGAGGCCAAGACGGGCGGATCACGAGGTCAGGAGATCGAGACCATCCTGGCTAACACGGTGAAACCCCGTCTCTACTAAAATACAAAAAAAATTAGCCGGGCGAGGTGGCGGGCGCCTGTACTCCCAGCTACTCGGGAGGCTGAGGCCGGAGAATGGCATGAACCCGGGAGGCGGGGCTTGCAGTGAGCTGAGATCCAGCCACTGCACTCCAGCCTGGGCGACAGAGCCAGACTCCGTCTCAAAAACAAAAACAAAAAAAAAAGGAATACTACTTTGAAATGAGAGACCTGTACTGTATCTGTTAATACCAAATTCCCTGGCATAAAGACTTAGTACATTGTTTAAAGAGAATGCATGAAGTTAACTGCATTACCTTCTGGAGGGTTCATTTGTGAATTTGGGGCCAAAGTAAAGGTAGTTAGTGGTGTTCTAACAGCATCAAACAAATGAATTCATTTCTTTTTTGGGGGGGTGGGGTGGAGGGAATAAGGTCTCACCCTGTCGCCCATGCAGGCTAGAAGGCCATGAAGTGATCTCGGCTGACTGCAGTCTCAACCTGGGCTCAAGCAATCCTCCCACCTCAGCCTCCTGAGTAGCTGGGACTACAGGTGCACACCACCGTGCCCAGCTCATTTTTGTATGTTTTGTAGAGACTGGGTTTTGCCACGTTACCCAGGCTGTTCTCGAACTCGTGAGCTCGAGTGATCCTTCCACCTCAGCCTCCCAGAGTGCTGGGATTACAGATGTAATCTGCCACACCTAGCCAAATGCATTCATTTCTACAATAGAAATATGTCTCTTTGCTCCTATCTTGAATTTGTAGACTCCCATAAATCAATAAAAAATAAGACAGCCAATAAAAAATGAGTAGAGGCCAGGCGCAGTGGCTCACACCTATAATCCAAGCACTTTGGGAGGCCCAGGCAGGCAGATCACCTGAGGTCAGGAGTTTGAGACCAGCCTGGCCAACATGACAAAACCCTATCTCTAATAAAAATATAAAAATTAGCCGGACGTGGTGGCACGTGCCTGTAATCCCAACTACTCGGGAGGCTGAGACAGGAGAATTGTTTGAACCCAGGAGGCAGAGGTTGCAGTGAGCCAAGATCATGCCACTGCACTCCAGCCTGGGTGACAGAGCAAGACTCCATCTCAAAAAAAAAAAGGGTAGAAACTTAAAACAGTCACCTCACAAAAGAGGGTATCTAAATATTAGTTCTTTAAAAAAAATTTTTTTAAAAAGGCATGTAGATGGCCGAAAAACATGTAAAAGGTACTCAACTAATTTAATCATTAGAGAAATGCAAATTAAAACCTAAATGAGATTTTAATCTCACATCCAACAGAATAGCTAAAATGAAAAACCCAGAAAATGCCAAATGTTTGTTAAGAGTTGGAGTAACTAAAACTACACGGCTGCTGGAAATGTATATTGGTATGACCACTTTGGGAAATGGGAAGTTCAACAAACAGGCAAACCAATCTAGATTTAGGAATATATGTTTAGGTAGTAAAAGTATAAAGAAAAGAAATAGCTGGCTTTGCAGGGCGTAGTGCTTGAGAGGTAATGGGTGTTTCTGGAGTGCTGTTGATGTTCTGTTCCTAAGTAGGGTGCTGTGGTTTGAGTTTGGTTTGCCTGACCTTACCAAGTCCCATGTTAAAATTTGATCCCCAGTGTTGGAGGTGAGGCCTGGTGGGAAGGGTTGTGGGAGTGGGTTTCTCATAAGTGGCTTGGTATTCTGGAAGGAGTGAGTTCATTAAGAGACTGGCACCTCCTCTCTCCTTTCTCTCGCTATGTGATTTCTGCATATGTCATCTCCCGTCTGCCTTCCACCACGAGTGGAAGCAGCCTGAAGCCCTCACTGGGAGCAGATACTGCTGTCATGCTTCTTGTACAGCCTGCAAAACCATAAGCCAAATAAGCCTAACATTCTAAGACACTGGTATTACATGAGTGTTCTTTCTATGATTTATCGAGAAGTAGGTTTTTTGGAGAAAAATGTACTTTCAGTATATATATTATATATTTCATGGTTAGTTATTTTTAAAACTCCTGAGCAATACTGGATACAGATTACCAACTATTATTTCCTTTACTGAGCCAATTTTTCTGTAAATGCAGCACAAATGTGAAAGATAAGGTAGGCCTGAATTCTGGGGAATGACAATGGTGAAGGAAAGGCGAGACAGAGGCAAAAGACACTGCAGAACTCACGCTCAAAATCTCAATCATCCTTAACACCTTCCCTCATCCCATCATGTTGAATCAGATGTCAGTAGCAATTTTATGTGGCATTTTTTAAGCTTGCAAAAAGTTATAAACAGAAAATGGTCATTTTATCACTCCATCACAGGCAAAAAAACATGAAATTAAGCTAGGAGACATGTTCAGGTGATTTAGGTAGAGCATAGACTAAAAACCAGTGAACTTGTAAAAAAAAAAAAAAATTGCCATGATGGGGACAAAAAAAAAAAAAGATTTGAGCTTGTGGCTCCTCACTCCATCTCCTGTGACTCTCACCTTACCCCCACTGCCTTCGTGTTTTTTGTAGAAAGAGAAATTATATTTTATGTGGATTGAGTTTAAGATTATGCCAGAGGCTGGGTGCGGTGGCTCAAGCCTGTAATCCCAGCACTTTGGGAGGCCGAGACGGGTGGATCACGAGGTCAGGAGATCGAGACCATCCTGGCTAACA